GGTGACCTTTGGTCTGTGCAAAGTAGCTTGTCTTTGCTGTGTTTTAGTCGACTAGTATTTTGTAAAATACAGTCACATTTCATTTATTTATATGTATATAGATTATTGCTATTTTGAAATAAGTTTATTAACATATTTTTCCTAAAACATAGAACAGTAAATAAAGAAGTAAACTAACAAATTATCTCTTCTGGTTACGACCTTTGTACTCGGTTGCTGCTTGACATAGGTTGCTAAGCCTTTAACGTTTTTGTAGGTGGAGGACATGAAACAAAATATTTTTTTTAGATTTTATATATACTTTTCAATAACTAAAAATACTAAATTAGTACATCAATACCATAGAATTCTATTATAATTTATCAAACGTAGTAATTAAGCTATATTTGGGTCTAAAAAAATATGCAATTTTGAGCAGACTAAAGACACAACTTACTTCATTGAAATCTTGATTTAAAAAAAGAAATGATGCTAGGTGCATTAGAAAGGATTAAAAAACCACTAGGGGACATTCTTAGCTTCAGATTGGTTATTCATGTCATGTATAGAAGTAAGTGTTTATAAGGGAGTGTTTCCAAAAATGGAAGGAGGTGAGCAGGGTGCCACTATGCTTGATTTATTACATGAGAAATATCTTAACAAATAGAAAAGATAAGACGTTTTTACTTTATATTCTAGCTTGTCCATATTGGTAATTTGAGTTTCTAATTCATATTAAACTATAGACTTAGTATTTTAATTTCACAAACATCTAATTTGAACCAGTGCTGCATTACACCCTACCCGTAATAGAAGGGTTAATCTGTCAAGGATAAGCAACTGTGGTTTTTCTCATACAATGTACAGTCATTCTAGAAAGTGAAAAGGGTAATTTAGATTTATTTCCTAATTTTTTTTATGATGGTTACTAGGTTGGTCAAATCCATAGATCCCGTATAGAATTATCCAATGCTGTGTTGAATCCAGCTAATAAACTTCATAAATTATCATTTTGATCAGACTCAAAAGATAAAATGTTATCTTTCTTACCTTCATTTTTATGATTTTTTGAAATAGACACATTTTAAATTTATTACAGTTGGAGATTCTGGTACCAAATACATTTTCTTGTATTATTTTGATTT